CTCGATTGAGAAGCTTGCTGAAACCGTTGTAGTGTGCGATTTGACTCTCGTAGAGCTTTGAGTTTCTTGTGAGCGGGCAGTTCAAATTCCTCGTAACCAATGTGAAATAAAAACGTTAATATCTTCGTTAGGAGTTAGTTTCAGTAATTTTCGTTGTGCAAATCGTGTTTGACGTGAAATTCTGGTTAAGAAACACGTATCAGAATGCTTAAGTTCTTACCTTGCCTAGTGGTCCATTCCGGAATTTTCCCGGAATTTCAGGGGTTTTCGTCAAATTGGCCGATAATTTGATCAATTTCAATCATTATTTGATCGAATTTGACGACTTCCGCAAATAAATTCGGGCGTAACTCGGCATTTTTCCCGGAACTTTTGAAAATCACTATTAATTCCGGGAAAAACGGAATCCCTGGCAAAATAAAATGACAGCACGGGCCCTTCTTTTACACCATTCATTTTGGTGTCCAGTATTTGGATATTTACCCGTCGGGTATACTTTCACAGAGCGTGCTAAATTTGCCGTTAGGAACTTCTCTCGCACTCCGCGCGGGAAATCCAGTGGAGATTTGGCGTAACACCGGCCGGAAAACTTCCGCACCCGGGAAAAGACTCTGCTCCTTCAAAGCGATCCGATTGCCCCAACGCGACGCGACCTTCCGCAAAAGGTGCGGATATAGCAAAGGCATAAATCACCTCGGAAGCGGAAATAAAGCTGATCCATCCCGAAGAGGGAGGAGGTGGTCGACAAAGCGTGAGTACAGCCCGGGTCACCTGATACTCCTCGAGTGAGTTGTGAGTGCAGAAGGGAAATTGCAACGGTGTCGGTTCGAAGTAACATCTTGGACTCCTCTCGAAAACTCAGTCCTTCATCCATTAATAAATAAGTACTTGAACTTGCACTGGTACTTGGATCGCATCTAGCAAAAAGGAAACAGCGCGATTATGGTGTTTTCAAAATTTTGAAACTTCTCATTTTCTGTTAGGTACATACATAATATATACACAGTATACAAATCTTTTTTTCTGCAAAATTAAGTGCTATCTACTGGGAGGCCAAAGTTTTTTGCTATGGTGATTGATTTTTTTTAAAAAAAAAAAAAAAAAAAAAAAAAAAAAAAAAAAAGAGGTTCAAGCCAAAAATGAAGTAAACAAGTGATATTTCAAACTACAAAGAGAAGGGAAATAATAGAAAACTTACAAAAAACTACTTACAAGACTTTTTTTATTTTTTAGCGGCTCTGGTGCTTGCACTAGAGCTGCTATTCCGGACGGTCCCAGCTGGGGAGTATCATTGGACCATGTTACATTGGAGAGACCGCGCGTTGGTTAATGGGAATCGGCGCCATTTTCGGCTATGTTCCTTGTCATGACTTTATTTTATTGCATATTGTTTTATTGTTAGCCAATGCTATGTTGTGTAGTGTATTTTTGGAATCATGGTGATACAGTCAATAATTCAAAACTTGTCTGTGCTTTAATCTCGTGATGGAAAAAATGTACTTTACGTTCAAAATTTGAAAATTTGAATTTTAAAGTTTTCGCGGTTAAGGAAGCTTCAACCACTGGGTTGGAGCTTCCTAGTCATATTACTCGATATCAGCTGATAGCAAACAAAGGTTACCAAGGAAACCGTGAACGTCTAATGCCGTCTGCCCACGTAGCAAATGGGAGGCGAAAATGGAAGTCATCAGTGCATCGTTGAGTGTTGACGCCCGATCCCATTTTCAGACATGTTCACACGTTTTGCTTGCAAAGAAAAAAGGCGGCAAATCAATTTTTATTATTGGACCAATGAGTGTTCTCCAATTTGAGTTTGTAAACATCGTGGTTTCTAGGTTAGGTTTTTGGCTGTGTGATAAATGATATTATGCCGTCTTTGATTTTGTTAAAATGACTCGATATATGTTATTTGATAAACGATTGGAGTTTTGATAGAGTAAGTTGATTTGAATTAAAAATTGTATCCTTAAAAAATGGATGATGAGGTGATTTGGTTAACATGGGCATTTGTGGTACTTGCGGCGTATTGGGAGTTTGTATGGAAACGACGTGGCAGTAGTCCACACTTTTTACAAGAAACTATTTTGTACAAAGTTCTGTACAAATTTTACACTATTTATACAGTAATATAATACAAAAAAATTATGTGCTTTATCACAACTCACATAGCTTCAAAACAAGATAGAAAATGATGGATGCTCAGCCCCGACACATCGATGATCGCGAAATTTGCGCGGCCCGCGCAATTTTCACGTTCAACACTCACCGATGCACTGATGACTTCCATTTTCGCCTCCCATTTGCTACGTGGGCAGACGGCACACAACTACCGTGGCCATCGGGGCGATTATTGAAATGACATCGACTCTATGTCGCCGCTTACGACAAGACATATAGCCCTATCTTAACCGTGTAATATATCGCAATTCGATATTCAAAACCATTACCTACAATTTCAGATATAAAAATGCAAATTTTTTGCAGCCTCGCTAAACGACTTACCAACCATGCATTCCAAAGTTTCTTATCACAGGGCTGTGAAAATATACAATCTAATAAATACAAAATAACCAAATATCTAAAAAGACAAAATTTCAGTTACAGTCAGTTTCAGTCTTATTGTTGCACAAACTAGTTATTTGACAAAAAAAGAAGATGATCACTCAATTGAAAGAAATTGGCGCCCAATCACAACGACAAGTTAAAAAAAATACTGTGGGAGAAATTTTTTAGGATGCGGACCTCCAAAGAGCCTTCAAAATTAAAAGTATACAACAAGTGATAGTGCCATGCATTCTGCATATCAATGGCCAATACACATTTATACACCGGCTACGTAAATCTGCTAAGTTACAAAACATGAATCGACAGTTGTCGGATTGTACATCAGTGACAAAATGTGTCTTGGCCCTCATTCTTGACTACAACTACTGTCGCCAGAGCCGCTCTCCGACGCGAATGCGTTGGAGCTTCCTGCTTGTTTATTATTTCTCATCTCTATGTAGTTTGAAATATTACTTGTTTAATTTAATTTTGGTTTGAAGCTCGTTTTTTTTAAAAAAAAAAAAAAAAAATCTATCACCATGCTCTATGTAGCTTAGCCAGCCAAATTCGACATTAAAATGTGTTTTTTGCTATTTTGGGAGGTTTTTTTAGATAATTATTAAAAAGCAACATTTTTACAACAGTGTGATCACACTGGTTTCTTTTTGCGAATTGCAATCCACTTATTAGAGTTTAACTATTTTTACTCTAATTGGCCTATCACAAACTTCAGCTATAACAAAAAGAAGGGTTATTTCTAAAAGGTAACGGCTCAAAAATCACAATAACCTTATCAGGAAAGTCTTAAATACACTCTTGGCCTCACAACCTGCGTGAGAAATATGCGTTTTTTAAGTTTCCCGCGTAAGTACGATACTACGGCACAGATGAACATTTCGTGAGAGGAGTCGTCATCCAACCCTTGCGCACTAGGATGCTTCGCAATATTCAACATGACCGGCACTAAATTCCTAAAACACATGTAAAGAGACGGTGTTTTCTTATTTCACATTTTCCTTGCGTTGATGAAGACCATGTGGTGTTTTCTCACAATTTTCGCGCGGAAGCGTCAACGATGTTGCATATTGTGGAAGCATCCTAGTGCGCAAGACCTGGCTGGAACGACTTTTCATACGAAATGTTTATACCTCTGTGCCAAAGTATCGTTTTTGAAGCGGGAAGCTTAAAACACGCCAATTTTCAACACAGATTGTGTATATATGAATGTATTTTAGACTTTTTCAACACGTTCATCGTAATTTTTGCTTTATCGCTCAAGTTTGCAAGAGGACAATTACATTTTTGGAATTTGTTTGGCCTTAATTTTCCCCCTATAGCACTATATTCCATCACCTTGTTGCTTATACCTCAGGCCATATTTTTAGTGGGTTTCTTTTCAAAAGACACACTTTTTATTCACGATTCAAATCATGAAATATGCATTGTTCTCCGGCGTGAAATGGACTCTTATAAAGGTCGAGTCGACATTTAGTGCAAACTGCGTTTAAAAAGACTCATGACAACATCGCGGGCAAATCGAAGCCAACCCTGTCTGTTTTGCTCTCCTGCTCCCAAGACTCTATTGAAACCCACATCCATCGCCATCCTGACTCCTTTCACTTCGAAACTTTCCTACCGTGGAGACCTATCAAGGTTGTAAAAACCTAATGTGAACAAAAGAGTCCGAGTTTCAACCCCGAAAAACTTACGGGTTCGCACATCTCCTTCGCTCACCAAACGAGAACTGATGCAAGCTTGTGTCTTGTTGATATTTACTATTTTCAACTTTTATCGAATGGACCGACGCAGTGTTGTAACAGCCCTGTGTCCACGCGTCAAAATGGAAGCTCAAAGTGAGCTTCTGTGCAAAGTGAGTGTCTGTTAATACGATCTGTACGCGATTGTTAATCAAAAAAGAGTCGCGCCGCTCTATTTTGAGTTGCAACACTCATCAATCACATCAAGTCCCGACTTTGAGCCACTTATCGTTGAAATCGATTCACTTTGAGCCTCCTCTTTGGCGAGTGGAGACAGCACTAATCAGGGGTGTTGCGTACTTTGCGATCAGTGGCGTGGCGTGCTTTACGATCTATCGATATTTCCCCATTTGAAACTGTGGTAAATAATCGATTATTAAGGTGTTCGGTGCGAACACCCTGTTAATCGATACTTTTCCATAGGTTTGTTAAATGGAACTATGTGCAAAGTGCATGAGCCATGGACATGTGTCTAGAGCGTTATAGCCAAGGCTCATGAGTTAATGACTACGACGAGGAGCCGCGACGACGGTTTCGTCACTGTCGCTTCATATTTCCCATTCATTCTTATGGCCCGAGCACTAACGAGCAGACCCCATCTTGTCCACCTGCACATAGTTCCTTTTAGCATGAATACGTCCAATTGTGAGATGAAGAGAATCTATGATTTTAAATTTGGATGTTATTTGTTTGTTTCAGCTGCCTGAAGGGCGACTACTTGAAAGTTTTCTTGCACCTGGAGAAAGGAGAGGTGAACGAGCTGAGCCCTTGGTCGCGGGTGCTGTGCGGGAGTCTGCAGGACATCCCGCCGGTCCTCTACAGCTCGGGCCCGGCCCTCATTCTCGAGCTCCACTCCCAGAGCAACCTCAACAACGCCACCGGTTTCGTAGGATCTTTCCGCTTCATCGACAAACGTGAGTAGTCGATCGTCTATTCCTACACCCCCCCCCCTTACCCAGTGCAAGTAGTGTCCCCATAGCCCAGTGCAACGAAAATAGTTAAATAAAATTGGGCTTTTTTCTATAAAATTGCAATTTTTCTACCTTCAAATGACCATATCTTAACATAATTTTTGTCGCGATAGCATAGAGAGCCGTAAGTACAAAAATGAAAGTACGAAGAATAAAATAGCAATTTGTCTACCTTAAAATTACCATATTTTAAGATAATTTTTCGCGATAGCATGGAGAGCCCTAAGTACAAAAATGAAGATTTTCTACCTTAAAGTGACCATATTTCGACATAATTTTTGTCGTGATAGCATAGAGAGCCGTACGTACAAAAATGAAGATGTGAAGGATAAAATTGCAATTTTTCTACCTTAAAGTAATCATATTTTAACATAATTTTTGTCACGATAACATAGAAAGGCATAAGTACATACATGAAGATTTGGGGCTCAATACCTCAACTTTCACAACAAGATTCGGGAGAAAAGTTTTTAAAAAAGAAGGCCCGATTAGACTACGTCCCTTGGATCTTCAGCTAAGTCGCTCACGTAGCCGTTGAAGCATCATTACAAATAAGCGAACGGAACGAGCCAAGGCAAGGAAGAGCGCGTGTTGGTGACGGCGCAGAGATACAACTATTCGTGCTCGATGGATGTCCGTGTNGGGTCATAATTCAACATTTTCAGTCGGAAATGACTCTTCAAAAATGTGAAATGACCCATTTTCGACATGCGCCCTTTTCGCCCCTTGGGCGGCGGGTAAAATTTTTTTTTAATTTTTTTTAAAAAAAGCGGGTGTGTTTTTACATCACATAGAAACTTTTGAGAGGTTGACCAACTTGAAATTCGCAAATTTAAAAAATAAGGGACACCCTAGCGATGGCGCGAGGCGTTCTTCCTCAGCACGACAGAATAGAACGCAAACGCATTCCTTCGCAACACATCTGGAGGGAGCATATTCCGACGCCCGAGCGAGAGATTGATCGAGCATGCCACGCGGGACTCGAAAAAGCAGATTAACCGCGAATTGGGAAAATTTAAAATACGGAAAGGGCGCCCCAGATCGTAATCACAGCCATTCTTCCTCGTCCGTAGTTTCGCGCGGCGCCACGCGTTGAATGAAAAACTTTACCCTAGGTGGGGGTGCCACGGCTTCTGCCCCCCTTCCCTTCCAGGTCCTCACCCCCCTCTCCCCAGTATCGGGGACAAGAGTAGCCGTCAACGGGAAATCTAATTTTTCGCTTGGCCCATAATCAAATCGCTGATTTTATCTCCGACAGCCGGCTGCCGGACTGCCGGCTCACATGTTTTAAGTCGAATTTTTTCTGTAACAAGGGGTCGAGGGGAGATTCGCGGGTTATTGTTCGAGTGCGGCAACCGCTCGCAACACGTCGTTCAACCGCGCGTTTCAAATCGAATCAACGATTGCGGTTCAGAGATGCCGCAACGGGGTAAAAACGCGTTTGCCTCCCTCGCCACCGCGGGAGGGGGCGGCGGGATTTTTATACAAATCGACGTTACTGTTGCTGTCATTTTTTACCCGACGTTGCTCCAAATGTCCCCCGCAGAATTGAATTGTTTAAACTCGGGAAATCCTGAAAGCGCGCTGGGATATTCCGCATGTTTGATGGTAATGTAGCGTCGCGTCCAAGATATTGGACTCCGTGCTCACTTTAATGAGAGATAAGCTTTTTTGAAGAATCAAAGTGAGCATAGCGTTGAAAATGGTGAGGTGTAAGTGTTGTGTGATATTAGACGAGAGTAGGCTCCAAAAATTTATCAAGACAATTTTGTCGAAGTAAAGGCGAAAACTACGTGTTCTCCTAGCAAACTGTGTGTTAGGAAAGGTTAATTAAGGTTACACCAACCAACCAATTGTGCTTGTGTGTGAGCTTTTTCCCTCTCTAATGAGATTTCTGAATTTTTTACGCACGTTGGCTAAAAAACTCCAACATCTAATTTAGGTTAGGTTGGGTCAAGTGAGATTAGACATTGATGGTGAAACTGCCAGACTAGGTATCTCGTTTGTGGTGGTTGAAAATCTCCGCTCTCATTATATTTTTTTTGAAGTAGAACAAATCAATATCATTTCTCGACATTTTCACAGAGTTTCTTCGCACGAAGAAAAGTCGAAGTCGCACGAAGTAAACAAATTTACTCGCCCTTTAAAGGATATGCTAAATATTAAACACTGATTCATTTCGGTTCATAAACAAAAGCAAGCATTGACGACTTTAATAGAAAATCCGGACCATAGTTGGATGTATTTCTGTCAAACGGAATTATGTGCATTAAGACATGAGTCCTGAGACCCATAAGAATATATGCATAACAGGGCTCACGTCATAATGCACATAGTTTCGTTCGGCAGAAATACGTCCAATTATGAAAACAGAAAATTCAACGGAATTTAAGAAGAATCATGCCTGACGACTATCCTTGTTAGCAAAGGATGAATGAAAATAAGAACCCAAGAAAATGACGCTTATCCAACGTCATGCTTCCATCGGAAATTCGAGGGATTTGAAATTCCCGGTCTAAGTTCGTCGTCTCCCGGAGAAAAATTCGTAACTCCACTGCAAGTTTGCCAAATTGACTGAAACAATTGATTTATTTTACAAAAATCGTCGTTTCCCCGACGAAGGAACGTAACTCCATTCCAAAGTCTCAAAACTGACTCAAACAATTCAATTTTTTACAAGACTGTCCCTGCTCAATTTTTGTCCAAATTTTTTCTGATTTTTGCGTAAAATCTGAGAAAAATCAGTAGAATGTTCAGTTTAAAATGCGAGAGATTCTCCCGGTAAAAATGAAATTTTCTGGAGAAAATTTGGCAAGAATGTAACAGAGTTACGTAATTTTGTGAGGAGAACGACGAAATGTACATGTACAATTTTCAGAATTTGCCTGATTCATGCATAAAACCAGAGGAAAAAATCCGCGAAATTTTCAGTTAGGAACACCCAAGTTTCTCTCCGCTGGTAAGCAATTCACGAAGGGAAATTTGGCAACATTGAAATGGAGTTAAGTTCTTTCGAAGGGGAAACGAAGAATGTTTCACATTTTACATCCGTTAAATTTATTACTGTAGCACGCTATGGCAATCCCGGGGTGGAACCCCCGCGCTAATGAATAAAAAACGCTGATTAAAGTATTAAGGTACTCCGGGCGAACTTTTAATTGAAAGCTTCGATACAATTCCGGCACGGCGCACAGTGGATCGAGTCAATAGGCGAGGTCATACAAAATTTGGAAACTTTACAAGCTTACTAGGGGGCTACGCGGCCCAACCCCCTGAAGGCGCTCCGCGCCATCAATGGGCCGCTTCGCGGCCCTATTTTTACCCTCCTATCAGTGTTAGTTTTATTTTTCCCCCAAAAAAATACGATATGAGGTATACTTTAATTTTAAACTTTACTTAAAATTACTTCAAAATTAAAAGGACGCGTTTTGGAATGACTGCTTGATGAAATATTGCAGTAAAACAATGAATAATAATAGTCAGGCAATAATTCAGGTTTTCATGAGTCGGGAATCGAACCCACACGAATCACGAAGCAGACGCATTCGACGACTTTGACGACTCGGCCACCGCTCGACATGAGGTCATCGGCACGAATCTTAAGTAGATAAGTGTAGAAATGATGCGCAGGCCACATAGCTACTGCGCAACCTCCTCGACCACTGCGCATCCTCCCGCGCATAGCGGTAGCAGTACCGGAGCATTCTGTAAACTCACTCACTTTTATAACGTGATTTTAAAAAAACCTGGGTCCTTTTTCAAAAATCTGATCACAGCGGGCTCATCTAGGGCCTACCACCTGTCGATTTACGCAAAAATCATGGAAATCGGCCCGGTAGAACGCTGGAACTAAGCGTCACCAGTTTCGCAAAATTAGGAGGTCTTGGAGCTTATAGTATAGACTAGGGGGCTACGCCCCCTGGCCGCTACGCGGCCCAACCCCCTGAAGGCGCTCCGCGCCATCAATGGGCCGCTTCGCGGCCCTATTTTTACCCTCCTATCGATGTTAGTTTTATTTTTCCCCCAAAAAATTACGATATGAGGTATACTTTACTTTTAGAATGAAATAATTTTTGGTTTTGATGAATAAATAAACAAATTTTTTTTTTTTTTTGAAGTCTGAAGGACGCGTTTTGGAATGACTGCTTGATGAAATATTGCAGTAAAACAACGATCATTGATAATCAGGTAATAATTAAGTACATCGGGAGTCGGGGATCGAACTCACACCATGATCTAAATGGACGCTACCGACGTCTTTGACGACTCGGCCACCGTTCGTTTTGAGGAAGGCAGTGCGAATCTTGTGTAGATAAGTGTAGAGCTGATGCGCAGGCTACACAGCTACTGCGCAACCTCCTCGACCACTGCGCATCCTCCCGCGCATAGCGGTAGCAGTCTCGGAGCATTCTGAAAATTCACTCACTTTTATAACGTGATTGTAAAAAAACCTGGGTCCTATTTCCAAAATCTGAATAGAGCGGGCTCATCTACGGCCAATTACCCGTCGATTACCGCAAAAAACTTGGAAATCGGCCCGGTAGAACGCTCAAACGAACTATGACAAAAAATATAAATTTACATTGTTTAAATGGGAGAATTCGCAACTTTACCACTTAATTTAAAAAAACCTGGGCCATATTTTGAAAATCTGAAAAGAGTTAGCTTATCTAGAGACAATTGCCCGTCGATAGCCGCAAAAATCATGAAAATCGGCTTGGTAGAACGCTGGAACTAAGCGTTACCAGTTTCGCAAAATTAGGAGGTCTCGGAGCTTATAGTATAGATAACTCCGTTTAAACAGTGGAAAAAAGGGGAGGAAAAACGGGAAACAAGGCTAAAAATACAAAATTAATAAAATCCAAGAAATGTCGACTCAGAACTGAGTCATTTTCAGTCGGAAACAATAAAATTTAAAAAAAAAGACCAAGTTTCTCTTTTTC